CATTTGCCTCTGAATAGTTAACCAATATACTAGCTCTTAATGGTTCAGACCTCTTACTGGTTCAGCACTTAATGGTTCAGACCTCTTACTGGTTCAGCACTTATCTATTCAGAAGTTGACAAACAGCCTCTTAGTAACTAATACTCCCTCCGTCCCTTTAAACATGGGATGTTTTGATTTTGAAGAAATTTAAGGGAAGTGCATTTTGGTATTGAATTTCCAAAAATGTCCTTTGATATGATGGATAAAAGTAGAATTTGATGGGTAGATTATTAGTAAAAAGGTATGATGTGATAGGTAGGTATGAAAAAGTAAGGGGTAAAAGTGACTTTTTAATAGAAATAAGAAATGTTTTTTTGGGACGGATGAAAAAGGAAAGAAGAAAGGTTTTAAGGGACGAAGGAAGTATAAAGTGTACTTCCTTCGTCCCAAAAAGAATACCACAATTACTATTTTGCCCTCTCGATAGATTTGGTTTGGTTACTCATTTTGATTGACCATTCAATAAAATAGAATATTCTTGTCACATCTTATTTTGCAAAACTTTTGATGTACTTTTAAACAGTGTGATTTTTACTTTTTATTTCCCTACCAATTTATAAACAAAACTTTAAAGGAGATGATTTTTTGTACATCCTTCGAAATGTTGGAAACAATTTAGGACGAAGCGAGTAGTATATTTAACCTGTTAGACAACTGATCCAAAATATATTTGGAAAACTTAACTTCTAACATTTTCCAATTCCTTCCAGTTTCTTCCAACTTTTCCAATTCCTTCCAACTCTTTCTAGTTTTTTCTGACTTAAAAAAAGTATTTACATATGATGAATAAATAATAATATTATATATCCAAATTTATAGCATATCACCTCAAACACAAATAATGATGAATTCTTTTTTATCCAGAATTAGAGTTTTCTTAAATATATTTGGGGGATCATTTAATGAAGTGACTTTTTAACACTTAAATTTTTCCAACTTCTTCCAACTCCTTTCAATTTCTTCCAACATCAAACTCTAAAAATTCAATTCAAAGGAACAGTGCCTAACTTTATTATTAAGATTAAAAGCATAAAAATAATTGCATATGTGGCACTCTATCATTATCCCTTCAACATTTGCCTTGTCCTCAAGGCAAAATCTACACAACAGCTTTTTGGTATATTTGGAGGTTTTGGTAGAGGTGGGAGGAAGACAATGAAAAGATCCATTAAACACAGTGGTGCTTCGAACAAAAGGGTCAAAATATAGCATAATAGCTTCAAGGTTAATCGATGCATGACACCACTACGACACTGTCCAAGGGTTATTGAAGCTTTATTAGTGATGATGTAGAACTTTCCAGGATGGTGTTGACATTTAGTTTGGAAGCATTCTCATCTGCATTTGGGAATTGGAAACATGGCTCCTTCTATAGCCAATTCTATGGGCGAGAATGGAGAGGTTTGATGGTGGTAACCAATATTAATCACTCATTCGTATTGGAATAGCCTTGACTTCAATTGCAAGTGCCAATTACCATCCACTAGAGATGTTCTAATCAGGATTGTGGAGGGACACTGTGAAGACAACATGATTGCATTCACTGTCACGCGCCGACTTTGAGTCGCAATTGAAAATTCCTTGTCATCATGTAGGAAAATTACTCGTTGGATGAGGGGAATGGAAGCAGTTGGCTGCAATGGTAGGGTGTTTGGGCTTACAAACGAATATAACCCTACTCTTCAGTTTTTAAATTTTCTTTCCTTTCACCTCTAGATAAGATCGATGAGCTTTGACTCTTTACCAGTTGGCACATGTTGAAAACCCTTGCCTGGTACTTCACATGTTGCAGCGTTTGAATTAATGACATCAAGGTGAACTACAATCCTAAGTAATTGGTGTACTTCTGTTAGATAAAAAATTGTGTTGAGAAAATGGAGAAACTAATTTTTTGCACAAAGAACCCATAAAGTTCATATGGCTTTGATACCAAAAGATAGAACTCAAGAGTGGCAAGGAAATAAATAAAGTCTCTATCAAATTATGAAATCAGGATCTAACTCAATAAAATAATAAAGATGAATGAAAAATCTTTATCAAAACATGAGCAAGAATCTTAAACTAGTATAAGTATTAAAGTCAAGGAGAATCTCCAATAATAAATATAGAATTACTTTTTGGAGTTTGGACAACTTTTACAAATAATGAGCTTCAATACTTATAGAAGTAGAAGCCAGATAACTACTAATCCCTAGAATTTAGGCCCACTACCACATTAACTAGGGACAATTCCTAGATTATACAGTCACTACCACGTTTACTAGGGACAATTCCTAGATTATAGAGTCACTACCACATTACTTAGCAAGTACTCCTAGAATTTAGGTCCACTTACACATTATTAACTGCTTAGTAACTAACATATACAATATAGTAAATTTGACCTGCTAAACAACGGATCCCAACTGAATCTATTATTAATATTAAAAACATAAAAATAACTGCATATGTGGCACTCTATCACTCTCTCCATATGTCCAGTAGCACGTCTTCAAATGAACAATAACAGTCTGTTCTTTAGATATTAAACTCTCAGTTTTTTCAAATTCCTTCTAGTTTTTCTAGTTTTTTTTATTTCTTCCAGTTTCTTCTACTTTTTTAATTATTCCCATTTTCTTCAATCCTATTTTACTTCCCAAAAAATGACTATTTAAAATATATTTTTCATGTATTATTATTACTATTATTATTATTATCATTATTATTGTTATTATCATTACTATTATTGTTATTATTATTATTATGTACATAATTATAGTTTATTTTACAATCTTTAATTTTTCTCATGTCACTTTTTTGTGATTCACGCTCATTATTATTTTCCTTCATTTTTAACATCAATAATATGGAGTACAATTTTATTGGGAAAATTTGTTGTTTAATTTACATTACACTAAATGATGTTCTAAAGATTACAAATATTATATTAATCTAAATTGACGTGGAAAAATATCAA